AGAGAGATAAAGGTGCTGGGTGCAGCAATTGAATAATCACCGTTCACCATCGTTTGAGACGTTTGAAACCGTCACTTGATAATTTTTGAATGCATGCAGACTTTTGGTAGCTAATTCTTATTTAATCAATCCCTTTCAAATAGTGGTTCTGGACTTTGGTTTACCTTCTTTGTTTTTAAGTTTTATTTGAAATTTAAGCATGTGTGTGTTTTTTACTAACGAGGTTATTCTTTCATAAAAGGGGGTGATTTTTTTTCCTCAAAGAAACATATCTTATCATCCTCCAATTAACAAGCTTTTTAAGTATGCAGAAATCTTAAAAAAAATGTCAACTAAGTGAAGAAGGTAACAAGTTGTTGAATGTACACTTGAAAATGAGAGAGCAAAGTGACTTACTAAAGAGAAGAGAACCTTGCAAAACGACGGGAATAAAGAAGAAGGCAGCTGAGAAAACAAAAACTAATGTGAAATGAACACTGGATGTTTAAACAAATGCAAAGACTGAATAACCTGTTTAAGTATGATTGGAAACCCTTTTCGCCCCTTAAGTATGGTTAGAAACCCTTTTGTAACCCTTTGTGATGAGTTCCTAATCCCTAAGGGTGGAAAAGCACATACTATATGTATTAAGGATAATAAACATGTTGAGAAGGGAGTTTTTCTCACCTTTTGATTTAGTTTTATATTAAGTTCCTTAAGTTGCATGAATGAGTTGATTATAATTGATTTGAAAGTTTATCATATGTTTAACTTGTATTTTTGTTTGTTTTTGTACAACTTCTTCAAAGGTTTCAGTTCAGTCTGACAGCTTAGCATGAGACTGTTCGATAGTCAATAAATAGAAGTTTGACAAGCTAAGTTAAGATCAATCAGAGAAGGAGGGATATAAGTAGGATGATATATGGTCTTTCTACGGGACACAACAAGATGAGCTACATATAAGGTGGATGAGAGAGAAAAACATAAATCATAAAATATAAAGTAACTTCTTAAATTAAAACGAACCTTCAATCTAGATCGACTTGTTATCTTAATGTCCAATAGGAATCTTCACTTAGCTTTGTTTCATGTTGGTTTGGCAATTTTCTTTTGGAAAATAGTTCCCATATTCAACCACTTGTGTTCTTATATGACCACTATGATGACCTTGGTGGGTAGATATGAATTACATCCCATTGGCTCATTAGATGAAATTTTGTTAAAACTGTACAAAGTTGTTTTTGCTCCCTACTTATATATCAACTTAATTTATTTATTTTTCAAGAGAGACTCAATGAAAGTACTTAATGTTGTTATTTGTGAATTGGTACCTAGATCATAGAAAAACCACATAACATTTGTGGTCCAAATTTCCTTTGCGGGAATGAAAACTTTTAAGCAATGTTTGATTTATATTTTTATAGGTTAAGAAAGTAATAATTTAAAAACATATGCAAAAATAATTGTAGAAAGTTATTTTTTATTACAAGTGGATAATGGTGGAAAAAAAGCAGGGAGACCTGCTTCGTCGCTTTTACTCGCAAAAGAATTTTAGGTTTTTTCTTTTGTTTCGTTCAATTGCAGCACAACAAAATAATGAAGAAATATGATAATGGTGGATTTCCATGGAACAAGTAAAACAAGAAAAAGTAAGAATAAGAAATACAAGAAGAATGACAAAAGCTACGTCAAGAAGAGCCGTAGAAGAAACGAGAAAAGAACTCGTGCTATCGAAAATTTTAGTTTTGATAATTTTGGTTTTTCAATATTACATTTTCCTACTCAAAACTTGAAAATAAAATTCATGACATATGAATGATGTACATACTCGAAAATTTATATAAATTCGTGACAATCCAATAAACTTGACTCGCAAACACCACTAACAAATTTGTAAAAGTTTATTTATGTAGAAAAATTATATAATTTAAATTTTAATTCAAATGAGTTCACAGAACATTTTCCATCAAAAAATAATTAAACTACAAGAATTATTTTCACTTAGAGAAGAAAAATATTTTTTAACAATTTTTTTTGACAATGTTTGTGATTAGATCTATTTAAATATTTTTTTTAAAATAAATTCAAATATAAACCAATAAAGCAGTGACATCGGATCCCTTAGATAAAGGAGGTGAGTGCGAAACAGGGCCAGCGACCACGACAAACATTACAGGGGCAGGCGCAACCCACTACGAGCAAAGGCGAGCCACGGCGTCCCACAGCGAGCAACAACGACCCGGTGACCCATGGCAAGCGACGACTATTTTCGACAACAGCAACCACGACGGCTGAATGAGATAACGCTGGACAACGCCAAAAATAGTGATGCAATGTGCGGTAAGTTCATACACTTCCACACACGTTTCTAAACTCACTATTTCATACGAGTTTACCATTTTGCACCGAGTTTACGAAATTCACACAAAAACAACAAATTTGTTTTCGAGTTGATTAAAATCATAATTGAGCACCTAAATCATGAATAACGAGTAAACTCGTCCGAATTAACGAGTTAACACGTAAGTTTAATACCATGTGAAAATGTTAATTTTGGTTAAAATATCATTTCCCCATGACGAAAAGAAAAGACATGATTGGTATAGTTTTATAATAGTTCTAGATGTTACGTCTGCTCTTCTTATCCCACTCTTTCGATTACAACCCATTTTCATACAGTAACGATCACAATCCTTTCTGCTAAATAAAAAACATAAAACCAGCAATGAGATATCTGAACTGATTGAAGGTGAACGAACACTACTTACAAGACCCAAATTAAGGATTCCCCATGAAGTCTGAGGCCAAGATTTCTCCTTAGCCTTCATCAGCAACACCCTTGTCCACGCAACCCAACCTTCCCAAGAAGTTCTCTTATCCCAGGGACATCCCCATTCCAGCAAAAGTCTCAGTCCTTTCTCGCATGTTTCTCACCCTCCCAAACCTTCCCTCTGTCAAACAAACCTGATCAGCACCACATATGGCTCTCCAACGAAGGGTTTTTGCTTATACACCCCACAAGCAAATCTCAACCTTCCCCAGCCCCTTATCACCACCGCTTGCCCAGTACAAATCTCTTGCACTATTTGATCTTCGCCTCCAAAAACCTTTGTGGCAGTCATCAAACAATGGCGGCAACACCAGCTCAATACTTCATTTCTATCCACATCCACCCCACCCCACCAACCGTCCTTCTCTCTCTTCAATCAAAATCTCTTCTTCCCTTGCAATCAAGTTGTACACTGCTCCCCTCCTTGAAATTGAATTCAGCCACAGACCGGCTTTCCATCTCCCGGCCACAGAGCCCCCAAATTGTTCCCAGAAAACTCAAGCCGACCGTTCCGGTTATCAAACAGCACATCCTGAAACCAAATAACTGGTCACAAAATCGGCCATGGTCATCATCACGAAAAACAGCCACTATCTCCGAGAAACATGCACCCGTTCACCCGTTCGAATGTGCTTCACTCAACCCCCTCCGCCGGAACAAGACCTGCAGTTTCTTCCTCCATCCTCTTCCCGTCGAAGACACCCTTCTCTTTGGCGTTCCTGAGTGATTCTCTGACTCGGCAAGGTGTTGCACGAGTTCTTGATCGGAGTACTGAGAGAAGTCGTCGTGGATGAGGGCTGCCGGGGAACTACACACGACAGTTGATGAGAGCCTCGGCTTGGTGGCCCACGTGGCGGCAAACAACTTCACGGCCAGTTGAAGGGTCGAAGATGGCGAGGTTGACGTAGGAGTTGGAGTAGGCTGAGTGGAAGAGACCGCAGAGGCAGACGGAGTGAGGGGCTTTCCAGAGGGTGAGAATGCGATATATATCGAGAAGGTGGTGAAGGAAGCTGCCATGTTTGTGCCAGCACTCTCCAGCGCCCACGCTCTGCAGGACGCCGACAAGCGAAGGGAGGTTTTCATCGATGGATTGGAGCTCCCCGCGGAGGAAGGGACGAGCACGTTCTAGGAGAGTTTCGGTTGAAGACGGCATGGTTGTGCTTATGCTGAAGAGTGAAGAGAAGGCGAGAAAGAAACAAAATAAAAGAGAATGACATTCGAAAGATTAAGAGACGTGTGGTGAGCAATCTTATCATCCCATACTCTGCTTCACATCATGCTATTATTGATATATCTTCCAAAAATCAAAAACCTATCATAAGTCTGTCTCATTATATAGGAAAACGTTTCTTTAACTGGCCACAACTTTTTTACAATGTTACTCGTCGTTTGATTTACTTGAAATAAATTTTAAAAAACTGAAATAATAATCTGGAGGACAATTTGGGAAGAGAAGAACGTTTCACAATTTTTTCATCTTCTGTGATATCGACGGTTACCTCCACTATCGACCAGCGTTTTTGTATTCCCTTGCACATTCTCGACCAAGAAGTAAAGGTGATTTCTTTTCTGAATGTGTGGACGTTTTCGTCCAAGATGGCTTATGGGCTTAATCTGACCCAACAAAGCAAGCTTGAAGCTAAAAAAAAATCAAAGAAGTTAAAGCAAAATAAAACACACTTTTGTCCTCCTCTGGATTCAAAATCGCACCCTTGAGCCATGTACACAAGCAATACACATACTACTTGGCCAAGCTTATTTAGTTGGTATATTAACCATTTATTATTCCTTTAAGTCATTCTTTTTCGCCTATTTTATATTTTTTCCATTTTAATCCAAAACTTAATTATTTTACTTTATTTTCACCACACACACAGTTATATTCCCGAGACCTTTACCTCGCCATATTAATCTCTAACTTATTAAATAACAAGGAACTTTTATTAATTTAATATAAGACAATCAAGTTTTCCATTCAACCCGAATGGCATATACGTAAGATCCGAAAAAGCAGGGGTCTTAGAGTTAAAGTAGTATCTTTGGTATTTTGTTTAGAAATTAATGTTGGGTGATTGGATGTTTTCTAGAACTATAATTATTATTATGTTAATTATTTAATGTTATTATTGATTAAGTGGAACACATGATTGATATGTTGTCAATATGATGATTTGTATGTGCGTAATATTACAAATATGATGTGTGGGTTTGATAGTAGAAGGATGATTTAGGATTGAATATGTGTGAACCAAATTCTAGAAAGAAAAACAGTTAGGGTAAACTTATATTTAATTTGTATTGTAGGAAATAAATGAATTTAATAAATCTGAAATTTAAAAGATTTAATGGTTGTTGATATTTTAAAAAGTAGTTAAGAGATAATAAAAGGAAATCTTGGTGCTTTTATAGATTAAGTGAGAGATATGATTTTAATTAAAAAGATAGAGAGAGAATAAAAGAAGATAATAAAGAAAAGAGTAAAAGAGGTATGCACATTGTTAACCTAATTCGTAAAAACGAAAATTAGAGAGTTAAATGAGAGAAAAGACATTTTCTAGGAGAAAAGAGGAAGAGCTCTAGAAAACTTTAGTGCAAGGGAGGACTTGTGATAGTTTGAAGTTAGACAAAGCCTTAGGATTGACCAAGGTATGAGGAAGCTTACACTTGTTTGCTTATTGTTGTATGTTATATATGTTCTTGATTGTCTTGATTGATAATCATTGTTTGATACATGCTTATATGATTATGATTATGATTATTTGTGATTATTATTGGGTAAGGGATTATGTATGCATGAACATAGGTTTTATGTATTATGTATGTTTTTGTTGGGTTATCCCAACAGAGGGTTTGATGCTAAGGGAAGTTATGATGCTTGGGGGTTTCCATGCAAATATAAGTTGTAAGTGTTGGGGTTATTGGGATCTCTTCCTATGTGGAGAATAAGACATATAATATGGACCATTATGTCTCACTTTGTTTTATTGGAGGTGGGCCAGATAAGTAGGACACGTTAGAGTCATTTGAAGAGAGGAAAAAGTCAAGTGAGAGAGAAAGGAAGAAATGAAGTCATTCCCGCATAACATAAAACCCGCATTGGTGTTTTCGTCGTTGTGAAGTCATTCACCGTTGGATCGGGCTAATTTTTGGACATAGGGTTCCAAGCATATGATTCTTCATTCTAACCGTTCAGATAGTCAATCAGAGGTCTAATTTGGTAGAAAACAGCCTCGCATTACTAACTCTATTTTGGAGAATTTCATAAAATCTGCACTGATGTTTTCGTTGTTGTGAAGTCATTCATCGTTGGATCAGGCTGATTTTTGAACAGTAGGTTCCAGACATATTGTTTTTCATTTTGACCGTTCGGCTCGTCAATCGAGAGTCTAATTTGGGAGAAAACAGCCTCACATCAGCAACTCTATTTTGGAGAAGTTGTAGAACGTGATGGAATCAGAGAATGAGTTTAGGGGTTCTGTTTAGGGTTAGGATTGACTTGTGGTTGAGATTGGAACATGAGTGGAAGATGAAATGCATAAAAGTGTGTGTGGATAATGAGCATGAGGCATGAGAAATTAGTCTACTTGTTATACCTAGTAAATCCTTGTTCTATCTCCATATAAGTGCTCTATTTGGCATTGGTTGTTGAAAAGAGACTGGTGACTCCCTTTGACATTGGTTGTTGAACAGGAAGGGATATTCCCTTTGGCTTTGGTTGTTGAAAAGGCGATGACTCTCTTTGGCATTGGTTGTTGAAAAGAGAGTGGTGACTCTCTTTGACATTGGTTGTTGAAAAGAGAGTGACATTCTCTTTGGCAAATAGTTGTAGAAAAGAGAACTATGTTCAAGTGTTGAATCTTCTTTGGTAAGGGGGATAAATGTTCTGCCTTGTGTGATAGGAGAATAGGTTCGAAGGCAGAAGAAGGATGACTCGAGTGTATCTGTATGAGGAAGCTATAAATGGGGTTGTAGGAGCAGCCACAGTTAGTGAGTTAAGGTACATGAGTGTGACTGAGTCTTGTCATGATGGAGTTCATGGTTTGGTGATGCTCATGGTGTGATTCATGATTGAGATAATCATGATGGTCGTGTCTATGATGATGATCATGGTATTTTACATGCTCCAAGTTATGCTATGTTGACAGTGATGTTACCATAATGGTTATAGTAGTAGTTAACATAAGTGCTAATGAGTGGAAAGATCAGAGGTCTATGTGTGAGATGTTAGTGATGACATCAAGGATCAAGGATGGAAGTTTGAGGATCGGGGATCGAAGATCGAGTAATTAATTATGATTGAATCGTTTATGTTAGAGGATTAAGAATCCTATTATTATTAATTTTATGTATAGAGTGTTTGATTATGATTGATATAATCAGAAGGTATGTATCTTATTGTGTGTTTGATTATGGGTGATATAATCAGAAGGTAAATATCTTGTTGTGTGTTTGATTATGATTGATATAATCAATACATATGTATCTTATTGTTATGATTGTTTTATCGGTAGTTTATCCCATACATGTTTGTGTTTGTATGAATGCGATGATCGTATAATGTATGATGTTATACGGGAGCATATGATGCTACAGATGAAGGTAAAACATGATAGATATGTGAGATGACGGGAGGCAAACTTGAGATTTTATTTAAAGCTATTACAATTAGTTTTTAAGACAATGTAATTGAGTTATTTTATTTCCTTTGTTATTTTGGTTTTATTTAAATAATGCAATTGGACAAGTATTTTGGAACTATTATGCGATGCAAGTTTAAATGTTGAGGTTTTTGAAAATACGTTTCCGCGTTATAAAAAAGTTTTGAAAAGTTTTCGCGTTAGCATAAGTATTTGTTAAACATAAAAAAAAATGAGAGATTGTTAAAACGAGATTGTTTAGGAACCCTTTATTTTGAAGTTTAACAAAAGTGTATAAGGAAATGGTTTATAAAAATGATCATCTAGGATAATAAGACAAATGCTATATATGTTAAACAATATGTTGAACCCATTGTGAATCATAAATGCTAAAGAGAAAAGTCTAGCATAAATACAATAGATTACTCTAATCACAACGGCTAAAGAAAAAAGTCTAGCATGAACATAATAGATTACTCTAATAACAACGACTTGATAAACAAACTACATTAAATACTATAGTACAAGGACAAAGCTAAAAGCTATTATGAACATCTAACGTTTTAATTCCAAATATACGATTAATACTTCTTTGCATGTTGTGTTGTTTCTATTTATTCCTGCAGATACATAAAGGACAAATGCTTTATTCGGAATGTTTCTTCAATGTCTTTTATCTGTCCAATCCGTACAAGCAACACAATTGCCTCTACAAAAGAAAAATAACATTTGACCTAATACAAAAGGCTATAAAACCTACATCAAAGTCAATGTTTCTGTGTAACAGATCTTTCTTGAAGTTGCCTATATAAAGAATACTGCATGAAGAGAAGAATATGAATTACACATACTATTATGTTGTCAATATTATTTTTCTCTTGTATTGTCTAAGTCTTTGAAAAATAAAACTCTTTGTAATAAGTTTTCAGATGAACTTTGTATTTATTTGAAATCTTCTCTAAAAGAGCTTCTCAATTTGTACTTGTTTTAAAATTACTTTGTTGTTTTTGGATAATCAGAAGTTATTTAAAACACTTAGTTGTTTAACTCAGAGAAAGTTAAATGTCATAGTCAGTTAGACTATTTTATTCTAGGAGTGATTATACTTGTTGTAAACTAAAAGTAATAAAACTTTTTGTATCTATTCAAAGATAATAGAACCCTTTAAGAGTGCTTAAAAGAAAACTCGAAGATAACTGAGTTGGAGTTAACTAATATAAAATAAAGTTTTCTTATTATCATTTTACATACTTTCTAAATGCTCTCTAAAAATTATTAAGTGTTAACACTTTGTGCAAATCATCTAATCCTTGCAAAGAATGTTTATTGGGAAAAAAAAAATTCAAACTCTATCTAAACCCATTTTTTAAGTTTCCTTGTGATTTCAAATACATCATACTTGTTTGACATGTTCTTTTTGTGTATTTTCCTGTAAAATAGATTATGCAAGAAATACGATAATCTACCCCTCCTTTAGTTTAAAAAAGTGTTTTTTTACTATAAATTTATCATATTACATTTTTTTATTAAATTATTTAACATAATAATAATTAAATATGCAGTATAAATATCGTGCCACTTCATTTCTTAAAAAATGATATAAATATGCTTCAAAGCATTTATACAAATTTAAATAAACTTTAATCACGATCAGTAGA